CCCTTTTTGTTTTTGTAGCATGCTGTTCACAGCCTCCCCATGTCGGGCGATGTCCTGAGGGGAGGGGGCTAGCCTTCTTCCTGGAGTCAAGCATTCCAGCCTGTCTTAGGTCGCCTCCTCCCTGATTGAGCCTTGCCCGTCATTGGACGGTGCACCTGGCCATGTGCACCTCCTGTCTTAGGAGCACTCATCAGGAGGAGATCTTATCCATCATTGGCAGGGAGTGCAGCAATCTTTTGGCTAGGACTATCACAAGGGAGGTGCCAGTCTGTGAAAGGAGGAGGAGGAGAAGAGTGGGGCTGTCTTGTGGAACTGCAGGCCTGGCTTACGATCATGCAGTAGCATAGGACTCTGTAAAAGCAAAGCTTTGAGAACCGAGGTTATTCATAATGGTCCATGTCTTAAGATTCAATGGAGATTTCTGCCAAAGCAGCCTAAACACAACCAGGCTTAGGCTCTTTAGAAGGGATATCTTCCACTATTTGAGCCAGCATGGCCAATCTTTGTCGCGTCTGGTTGTTGCAACAAACGATCTTTCTTACCATTAAAACAAGCCATAAAACAAAGATGACACTTATGCCATATAATCCCCATTTTGCCCAGGTAAGCGGGCTCGAGACTCAATCCCATAGGCCTTCTTTAGTTCCTTTAAGTCCTTGGCTTCCCAGGGATACCAGGGGGCAGGGCAGTTGACCCCCCCCTTCACATTGACCAGGAAAGCCTCTACCGCCCCCTGCAGCTTACTAGCCCTGGGATATGCTGGTGGTTTGTCCTCCTTTTCCTTACCCTATAAGGACTCTCCCTTTCCTTCCAGGTGCTCAGGGGGTGCTGGGGGGGGCAAGGCACTCCATCCCCACCCATAGTGGCCGTTCTGCAGGTGGTCCCTCCAGGAGTGGAGGGGGACCCCTCAGGGGGTTTCTGTTTCGGTTTCACCCTCTTGCTCCTTTCCTCATCAAACTTGACCCATTCGTCTCGTGAAGGGTCATCCTTGGTCTCCTCCTGGCTACCCGACTGGGACTCAGGCTTCTCAGGCCAGAATCAGGTCTTCAGGGCGGCCAGAGTGGGGTAAAAGCTGAGCAGAGGGTCGATCCCCAAGTGGATTTCCCTCTGCCGTGCCAATCGTTCTATCCTGTCCCAAGTGTCCCATGTGAACAGATTTTCCCTTAGCAGCCAAGGGGCCAGGTGGGTCACAGTACTCCACACCTTATTAGCGGTCTGGTCCATGAGTTCCAGGCCCCTACTCTTAAGCATGTATCTCAGCGCCTTAATCGTTGGGTCCTCTGTCTTTGAAGTTGCATTATCCATCCTTTCGGGTCTCACCCCCGCCCTTGGTCCCGATTGGCCCTGACCAATTACCTTATCTTTACCTACCCCTTTCGAGCCCCATGTTTGGCACCAGATGCGGGGGCCCTCTGGGGCAGCTGGACCTGGCCAGCAGGTCACTCCGGAGGGACTACCCACACGGGGGGATCAGGGAAAGGAGAGTGCGCTGTCTGCCCTTTCTGTCAGCCCTCCTTGCTGAGGACAATCAGTCAATCAAGCAGACCTCAAGCAGGAGTTCGTTTATTGCAGGTGTCACAGAGCTTATAAAGGCAAAAACCGCAGTTTGGAAATCCCCTCGGAAACCCCCTCCCCCGAATGCACCCAATCAACTTAAAGGTCAACCTGCCACATGGGCAGGGTCACATAGGCATCAACGATGATCACATGCTGATCACGCGCCTCCAGAAACGGGGAAGTGTCCTTCAGCCATTTGGAAGGTTTTCAAAACAAGTCAGGCCTCGCCCTGTTCACTTCCTCTTGGAGCCATCTTTGCAGGGTCGCTGACAGGCTCCCACATATATTGTTTATTATTGTGTTTGTACAATGTGTGTGAATGCACCCTCATGTAGGACAAAGGATAATTTTGTGTAGTCAGGCCTCTCCTTCCACTTTCACGTGGGTTCCAAAATCTAAGTTGTCAGGCTTATATGGCAAGTGCTTTTAACTGGCTGAGCCACCTCCCTGGACAAAGTGATTTTTATTTGATGTGTATGTGTGCAGGGGCAGCGGGAGATAATACAGCTCTATGTATGCTGATTATTTATTGGTTAATCCTCTAAAGTTATCTCCCATCTTTCTCTGTACACCCTGCCTGTTACAGATGGTATTACCTGACTGTCTCTGTCCCTGGTTTTAGAAAGATAGTGGAACGGAGAAGAGAGATTATGGTGTGAATTATTCTCCCTACTGTCTCAAACTGATTTCCTCAACCTCATGACCACAGTTCCTACCAGGCAGCTATTCAGTTGTCTTTGATTTGGCCTCTGCACCCTTCAGATATCTTGCCTGTTTCTTTTTGTTTTTTTAAATAAATAATTTATTGAGAATTTTATACATGCATATAAGATGTATTGATTAAATCCATGTGCACTCCCTCCCCTCCAACTCCTCCCATATATCCACATCACTTTTTTTTCTGATAACTTCATGTATTCTTTTTTCTTTGTTATTTTTTAAGGGGCTTTTGGCTACTCTAACATTCCCTCTTCTGAAGAGGTAACCCTAAAATCTTGTAAGGATTAGATAAAAGCTTCCAAATACTTTCAACATTTTTGGCCTTTGGAACAGACTATGTTGCTAAAAGGCCCAAAGACATTTTGGCTTTTAGCCAAGAAACTGGTTACTTTTCTTTGAAGTCTTTTTTTAAATATATAATTTATTGAGAATGTCATACATGCATATAAGGTGTTTTGATCAAATCTGTGTTGACAATCTCTATCTTCTAATTGACATATTCATACCACTAAAGTTAAAATAATTATTGATAAGATTTGAGGTAGATATATTATTTCTTATTTTTAATTTTTATTTTATTTTATGTGTATGAGTGTATTGCCTGCATGCATGTAAGTGCACCCATGCCATGCAATGCCTGAAGAAGTCAGAAGAGGGAGTCAGATTCCCTAGAACTGGAGTTACAGACGGTTGTTAGGCACCATGTGGGTGTTAGGAATCAAATGTGGTTCCTCTGTAAGAGCAGCCAGTGCTCTTAACCACTGAGCCATCACTCCAGCCCCAGTTGAGTTTTAGCTATATTAGTATAGTCTCTGTCCCTTAATTCTGTTTCTTCTTCCTAGTCTATTTTCTTCTCTTCCTGTGGGTTACTTAAAAAATTTTTAGAAGTTCACTGTGATTTATCTGTATTGCTATATAATACAATATAATGCATCTTAGTATAGTTAATTTTAGTGCCTGCCATAGGTATAAATATGTATAAAATATATAGTATGTATAAAATATACATATTATTAACTTCTCTCAGCCTGCTGGTATTGCCATTTTAAGTTATTATTCTATTTAGTCCTGTTTAACCAGCTTGCTTTTACATATACATCTTTAAAGTATTTCAGTGTCATAAGGATAGCATCATATCAGATGACATTATTTTTGCTGTTTTGCTGTTGATAAATCCATTTTACTTATCCTTATTTTTTACTCATTTCAAGTGTTTATTTTCATAGAATGACATTATTCTTCAGTTAACATTTCCTTTTTGCTTAGGGAAATTCTTTTGACATTTTTAAGAGTATATCTTCTGTTCACAAACTTTCCTAATTTTTCTTTTTCTGAGACCGCCTTTATTTCCCCTTAATTCCTAAAGTATACCAGTAAGGGAGGGGGGGTCATAAGTAATGGACATAAGTAAATCCAAGACAACCTTGCTCAGCAGCCAGAGTAAATATAATTTTAAAAAGGAATGCTTAGAGGGACTGGAGAGATGGCTCCACAGTTAAGAGCACTGACTGCTTTTGCAGAGGACCCAGGTTCGATTCCCAGCACCCACATGGCTGCTATGAAACATCCTTAACTCCAGTTCCAGGGGAATCTGAAGTCCTCTTCTGACTTCTGCGGCATTGCACGACATGGATGCACTCACATACATGCAGGCAATACACTCATACACATAAAATAAAAATAATAAATTTTTAAAAAGGAATGCTTAGGGGTTGGGGATTTAGCTCAGTGGTAGAGTGCTTGCCTAGCAAGTGTAAGGCCCTGGGATGGTCCTCAGCTGCGGAAGAAAACAAAAAAGACAACATAAAAAGGAATGCTTAGGGGTTTGGATGTTAGCTTAAGGGTAGAGGGCTTGCCTAGCAAGTGTAAGGCCCTGGGATGGTCCTCAGCTGCGGAAGAAAACAAAAAAGACAACATAAAAAGGAATGCTTAGGGGTTGGGGATTTAGCTCAGTGGTAGAGTGCTTGCCTAGCAAGTGTAAGGCCCTGGGATGGTCCTCAGCTGCGGAAAAAAAAAAAAAAGACAACATAAAAAGGAATGCTTAGAAATGGGGACTATGCGGAACTATAGAACTGTGCTTACACCATCAATAAATACACTAGAATAAAACAAAAAGCATCCATATGGGTTTGATGGCACTCCAAGGTATAGTTACTATTCTATGCAAAGTCAAGAAAGAAAGGTAAGGCCCGTATAGTGGTGAAGCCTTTAATCCCAGCACTCAGGAGGCAGAGGCAGGCGGTTCTCTGGGAGTTCAAGGCCAGCCTGGTCTACAGGGCTACATACTGAGATCTTGTCTCAAAAAAACCAAACAAAAACCAAAGTGCAGTGAGCTGGTTGACCAGGTTTCCTTGAGGACACTGGAAAGATATTGGTGTACCTAAGCAGGCCTTCTGCATTTGCTTTTTGTACATCATCAAGTGATCAACACCTGCCAACTGTCCATTCCCACTCTTAGGGGATTCATAAGAGCAAACTCCAGCACTAGTGCCTTACAGTGAGCTAGGTCCTGTGGCTTATGCACCCAGGAGCCTGGAACTAGGTAAGGATGAAGGAGTGGGGTGTGCAGGTGAGTCAGGCTGGGCTAGAGGAGCGGGCCTGGGCTGCAGTGCAGAGTGGGGCGGGGCTAGGATGAAGGCCACGCATCACTGAGGCGTCTGCGTGCTGGGGGCGGAGCCCTTCACGCCACCTCTGCGGCCAAGCGCCACCAGGGCTTCCGGCCCACCTCCCCAACCGCCCTGAGGCTGCAGCAAGGAGGCGGAGCTGTGTACCGTAGGTCCCAAGGGCGGGCGGAGGCGCGGAGCTGCCTCGGGAGGCTTCGGGGACCAGCAGCCCGAGGGCGGCGCGGCGCGGCGCGGCGGGCGGGGGCCGGGAAGTGTGGCTCAGCGCTCAGGCCTACGCTCCGGCGGGTGAGCGGGGCGGCGGGGCCCATGGCGGCGTCAGCGGCCCTGTCTGCGGCGGCGGCGGCGGCAGCCCTGTCAGGCCTGGCGGTGCGGTTGTCGCGTTCCGCCGCGGTGCGCGGCTCGTACGGCGCCTTCTGCAAAGGGCTCACGCGCACGCTGCTCACCTTCTTCGACCTGGCCTGGCGGCTGCGCATGAACTTCCCCTACTTCTACATGGTGGCCTCGGTGATGTTCAATGTCCGCCTGCAGGTGCGGATCGAGTGAGGGAGCGTACGAGCGAGTGGCAAAACCCCAGCCCCTCCGCCGCCGCCCCTGCCGCCCCCGTACGCGCCCTCCGCCCTAGGCCGCGCGGGAAGGTCGGTGGGCCGCGCCGGGTCGCCTGGCTGCGGCGGGGAGGCCCGGGCACCTCCACCCTAGGGCTCTGCGGAGAGCGAATGGTGCCGGGCAGCCAGCAGACCAGACCGAGAACCCCTCCCGCGCCGAGATCTTTCCTGCAGCATCCATAGAATCGCTGGCGTCTGGCAGACCTGTTGCCTCCAGTTGGCCGAAAGGGGGAGAACCGGAGGAGGGATGCGACTACCCGACTTGATTGGCCGGGCCCCTGGGCTGAAAGGTAGCTGGTGATCGCGGGCCTCTGGCCATGGCATCTTAATGCCCAGGCGCCTTGTTTGTTTCTGGAAATAGGGAAGACACCCGGGCACACCTGCTGTCTAACCCAGTTGGGGAACCAAAAGGTAGGCACAGGCTCTCCCATGCTCCTGTTGGTTATTCCTGGTAGGGCGAAGGGTGGCACAGCGACCATGGCATCTGAGAGGGTCAGCCCATCACCAACAGTCAGGGATACCTCTCCATGCACTGCCCAGTCTTTGAGTCCCCTTTTTATACAAAAGAGCACTGAGATGTCACCTGAACCCCTGGAGCGGGGGAGTGGCATGAGCCAATGAGCCCCCCAGAAGGCCCTAGTGGATTAAAGATGTGCATACCCATCTCTGCCTGTCTCCAGGTAGCAGATAAGATGAACAGTTCTCTTCTGAGTCAAACCCTGGGTCTGTCCCCTTCTCTCTAAGGCTCAGCACTCTGCAGCTCTGCACAACCCTTCCCAAACTGCCCCCTGCACTGTTGGGGGGGTTGTAAGAGACTTGTCTCTGCCTGCCCTTCCTGCTGTCCCTCTTGCCCCTCTAACCCCACCTGAGATCATCTGCAGACAGGGAAGGATGGGAAATACTGAATTCCACCTATCTCTTCGGCACAGCCTTGCTCTTCCATCCTGGTGTCCACCTAGGCTCCCTGCAGCCCCTGTGGTGGGTATTCCCAAGGCCACAGTAGCCTGTCCACCAGCCATGAGCAGCCTGGCAACCCACGGTGTACCACAGACCTACCAAGGTAGGTCTCCCGAGCAGGCAGCTGCTCTGAGAAAAGGGTAGAGAAGGGCAACAGGCCAATGCTAAAGTTTCCCTCTTTCTTTTTCAGGTATTGGTCCTTGTAGGTGATGGCTCACCCATGCTCTGGGCTTCTCAAGTCGGATCCCTACCTTGAGGTGCTGTTGTTCCTTTAGCAGTCTTGGGAGCAGCTGGGTGAAAGGCCAGTCTAGAAGAGGAAGGGCTTATCTGATAGAGGACCAGAGGGGTGGGGTGGCCCAGGGCTCCTGACCCTGTCATGGGAAAGATATCAGTGTTCCCTGGGCACTGATATCTCCTTGCAACACTGTGAGGGAGATGTGTTCTCCCACCTAAAGAACACTGTGGACCTCTGAGAATGGCCAGGGATTTGTCCTTGTCACCCAGAGAGGAGGTGTGGAGCTCAGCCTGCCCTTGCCATGCACTCCCCCACCTCAGCAGTCTTCTCCAAGGCCTGGCAGGACAGTGGGATGGGGAGGGAGCACAGAGCTGCCAAGGGACCTAGGGAGAGAGAAGTCGAGGGGTAGGGAAGCTGGGCATCGGCCTTTCCTTGGAGTGGTATGAAAGGTCCTGTGGAAGACAGGGGAGCAGCCGAGGCAGGGGACAGAGAAGTAAGTTTCAGAACTCCCTGAAAAGTCAGGTCCTCCCCCCCAGAGCTAAACCTTCTCACCTCACTGGACCATGACCAAGGGCTTCTGAGTTATATGGTGACAACTTCTTGAGCTCAGTTTTGTGACAGTGGGATGATGGTGGCATTGTGGTTTGTAAGGTCAGGATGTCATTAGCAGATGGAAGAGTTGGGGACTGAGACCATTGGTATGACCACATCTCTCTGTCCCCAGGCTTGGGGCCCCAGCCTTGGAACTGCATAAGAAAATCTCATCGCTGTGAGCTGAGGACAGTCCAGGAGGCCCTGAGTGGGGTCCATGAATGACCAAGAATGGCCCAAGGGACACTCATCCCACATCCCCAGTTCCCTCAGGTCCACTGCCACTGGTAGCTCAAGGCCCATTGTATCCTGTTCTTGGGATAGAAACCTTCAGCAATCTCGGCATCCCCAGGGACAGCGTGGCCCAGCTGCCCAGTTGTAGTCAGGGACCCAGATGAACATCTCAGTCTCTGTCCCCCAGGGGCACAGGCTGGAATTTGGCTGCCACATGGCCTCTTGTTTGCCACGGCCCAGAACCGATAGCTTCTTGCTTCTGCCACGTTTCCTGAGTTTAGTGTGTATATATGTTTGAATGCATGTGTGTATATCTGCGTGTGAACATGTCTGATGGGAATGGGGCTGTTGAGCAGGAGGAGGAACTCCTGAGGTGACCTGTCTTTCCTGTACAAGAAGGATCTTGGCTTATTAGAAGTGTAGAAGTGCTCATGAAATCTGAGGGCCTGACCTCTCAGACCTCTCATTGCAGGGAAGCTCCTCCCTGAGCATGCCCAGACATGGGCTTTGGCTGTACTCTGGCATTGGCACTGGCCTGGATTCTGGGCTCAGTAGCCTCAGCCAGGAGAGAGGCAAGGACCAGGCCTTAGCCTTGTGCTCACATCCTGCTCTGGCCTTGAGTAGTGTGAGCTTCTGCTTTCCCTGACCCCTAGCTACTTCCGCTCATCCATGGTGCCCTTCCTGCGTGATGGGGTCGTGATGCACTTTATTTGCAGTCTGTATTCCAGGCAGCAAAACTTCAACAGATTCAGAGACTCAACCTGAATGACCCTACATTTCCATGTGTGATGAACTGCACCGCCAGCACTGCCTTGTCAACATTGCGTTCTTCTTTCTGGTGTTGTCACATGTTGTTGTCTGTCCAACTCAAAAGAGAAACCCTTGAATTCACTACGCTGACTACCGCCTGGATGCCTCCTATTTCTGCTGGGTGCCATGCAGTGGCCTGGGCGAGGCAGGTGGGGGGCAGAAGGTGGGAGAGCAAGCTCTGAGCCAAAAGCTATAGTGCCTCAGGGCTGTGCAGGGAATCTATGCTCTTTCAGAACCCCCTCCCAGACTGCCTGTGACAGGACCACCTTCCTCTGTTACCCACTGCATTGAACAGGCCCAGAAGATACCAGGTGGTCAGTGAAAGAAACCAAAGCATAGGCTTCTCTTTCATTCTAGGGTCTGGTGTCAAACTTTAATTCAAGTTGAACCTCAGCGGTAAAGGGAAAGGAGACAACTGTCTGCAGGACATTTTGTGCAGCCTGTAGACAACTCTGCAGCAGCAGGTGGTGAATTCGCTGCCTCCTGGAAGGCGACTTCCTGGAGACTCTTAAGAAGAAAAAAAAATACCAGATGCTGGAGCTGGATGCCTGCTTTTCTCTCCTGGCCTTAGCTCTGTTCTCTCACAACTCTGTTCTCAGGCATTGCCGGAGAAGCCAGGAACTGTAGGGCCAAGGTGAGGTTTGGCAAGAGGGCAGGAGATTAGGGGAGGTGAGGAGGCTGGGGCAGGTCAGGAGGCATGGCAGGAAGGAGTGAGGGCAGGAAGCTCAGGAGGAAGGAAAGAAGCTTGGGAGGACAGGAGCCTGGTGAGAAGGACAGGAAACTCAAGGGGATTCTGGGAGACTGGTGGAGGTCAAGTTTCTTGAGAGGGTAGAAGCCTGAGGAGCAGGACAAGATGCTCAGGGGTACTGTGGGGTGGCAGGGAAGGCAGGCAACTCATGGGAATGTAGCAGTCTGGGGAAGGCAGAAGTTTCAGGAGGAGGGCGGGAAGTTTCAGGTTGACAGTAGGAGGATAGGAGAGGACTCAAGGCTCCTGAGGACAGAAGATTCAGGAGAAGTAGCTCAGGTAGGGCAGAATGATGATGTAGAAGGAAGGAGACTCAAGGGAAATGTAGGTGTCTACGAAGGAGGGCAGCAGATTAGGGTAAAAGGCAGGATGGAGAAAGGTAGTAGGATAGGGCTGTTAGAAGACTCTAGAGAGGGCAAGAAGCTGGCAGTGGGTGGTGTTGGAGTGTAGGGAAGAGGATAGGGCACTGAAAAGGAAAATAGGACCATGAGGAGGGTAATAGTCCAGGGGAAGGCTGAAGGATGGGGAGAAGGATAATCTGAGGAGGATGGAAGACTTGGAAGGAGAGCCAGAGGCTTGCAGGAAGTTTGTAAGGCTGAAGAAAATTGCAAGAGTCTCAGGAAGCATAATACATGAGCAGTACAGGAGGAAGGGGAACAGGGTGGCAAGCTGGTAGGAGGCCAGGAGGCTCAAGGGGCTGTAGGAAGCAGAAGAGAAGACAGACTGAGGTGGAAAGTGGTATGATAGGGAGGGCAGAAGGCTAGGGATGAGGGCAGGATTGTCACGGAAGGGTGGAGTCTCCAGGAAAGCAGAATACTAGGGAGAAGGGGAAACTAGGAGGAGGCCAGGCAGTTAAGGGGAATCGGGTAGTGGGAAGCTGGGGTACAACTAAAGGTCTGAGAGGTGCAAAACATGCTCAAGGGGAGTATGTAAGGCACATAGGAAGGGTAGGAGTCTGGGAGAGGGGAGAAGCCTAGGGCCTGTGGCAGAAATTGGAGGAGAAACACAGCAGGCTGAGGAGTGTGGTAGGAGGTTGGGGAAGAGGGCCTGGTGATGAGGGCAGGAGCATCAGGGAGGGTATGAGGCAGGGGTGGGGAGATAGTGGGTGGAGGAATGCAGAAGACTGAGAGGAGGATTCTCGGAGAGTATAGGAGGTTCAGACGTACAGGATGCGTAAGAGGGCAAGAGGCTAGTGGGCACTGGGGAGAATGGCAAGAGACTGGTAAGGAGTCCAAGATAAGGGAAGTGTAGGAGGCTGGGGAAGGAAGCAGAAGGCTATAGAGAAGGACACATGGGGAAGTTAGGAGACTAGTGAATGGAAGGGACATTCAAGCTGAAGGCATGACACTGGGAGAGGTCATTGGGGGGCAGAAGGCTGGGTAGAGAGACTAAGGAGGAGGTAGTAAGCTAGGGAGGAGTAAGGCTAGTGAGGATAGATGGCTCAGGGTGAGGGTAGGAGCCTGGAGGAGGGCAATAGGCAGGACAGGCAGGAGGTTCAGGAATTAGCATGCTATGGGGGAATATAAACCTAGTGAAGACATTAAGGTCAGGAGAGGGTTGGAAGTTCAGGAAAGGCAGGAGGCTGAGTAATTATGTAGGAGGCTGAGGAGGGTAGCAGGCTCGGGAAGGTCAGAAAGCTAGAAGGATAGAGTAGAAAGGTGGGCAAGGGTCTCGGGGAGGGTATAGGAGTTTGGGGGTACCAGAGGCTGGGAAGGAAGACAGCGAGGCTCTCAGAAGCAAGTGGAGAGACTCGGAGGGGAAGGAAGAAGACATGGGTGGCTGAGGAAAAACAAAAGTTTAAGGAAGAGGACAGGAGGCAGGGGAGGTGGGAAGAAGCCGGGGGAGAATAGGAAGCTAGAAGAGGGCAAAACTGGGGAGGAGGGCAGAAGGCTGAACAGTAAGATGGGAAACAAGGGGAGAAGCATAGGATGCTTGGAAACTGAAGAAGTATAGGTAGCTCCAGGGGAGGGTAGAAGACTGAGCAGGAGGACAGGAGGTGTGGAGGGTAAGAGGGTGGGTCGGGTGGTTTACCTGTAGAGCAGGAGGTTGAGGAGAAGGGCAAGATGCTCAGGGGTTAGGAGTAAACTGTAGAGCTAGGCAAGAGGCAGGATGGGGGACAGAACGGAGGAAAAGAGTGGAGACTGGAGGTTCAGGGGATTCTAGGTGTGTGGACAAAGGTGGAAAATGAGATAGAAAGAGTTGCTGAGGGGGAGGGCAGAAGACTCATGGAATGTGGAGGATTCTTGGGACAGCAGGAGAATTGGGAGGAACTAGAAGTCTAGGGGAAAATCAAGCCTGGGAAGAAGAGTTAAAGACTGGGAAGACAGTAGCATGCTTAGGAAGCTGTGGAAGGGCAGAAGTCTAGGGAGGAAGGCCGAAGATGGGTAGGAAAGCAGGACAGTTGGAAGGGAATGGAAAGCAGGACAGTTGGAAGGGAATTAATTGGCCAAGTACTATGACGGCCAGCAGGCAGTTGACAGTGAAGGTAGGGGAAGACAACTGGGAGCAAGAAAGGAGACTGGGGAGGAGGGCACAAGGTTTGGAGGGTGCTTAGGAGGTTATGGGACGAAGTAAGCCTTAAAGAGGGCAAGGGTCTAGGAAGGGGAAAGCCTGAGGCTTGGAGAGGTGAGGAAGTTAACAAAGGACAGGAAACTGAGCAGGAAAGCAGCGAAGTTAGGAGGGTTGGAGGCACAGAAAGTGAAGAAGGATGAGCAAATGAACCAGAAGATAGGAGTCATACCAGGAGGTTCAGGGCAGGAGGATGGAGAGGAGCACAAAGACTGAGAGGTGTGGTAGGAAACTGGGGAGGAGGGCCTGGGGATAGGAGGAATCCAAGAGGAGGCTGTGAGGTACCAGGAGAATGCAGGAATAAGGGAAGTGGGTAGAGGAGGACAGAAGGTGGACACTGAGGGAAGAGGCTCTGCAGGGAGGCAGGAAGTTCCAGGAGAGGATAGGCTGGTGGAGGGCAAGTTCTGAGGGGAGAGAGATGGCTGAAGAAGAGAGAAGGATGCTTGGCTAGGACAGCAGTGAGCTCAGTGTAAGAATAAGAATTTGGGAAAAGAAGAGGCTTAGTGTAGGAGGGAACTAGGAAATCCAGAGGCTTGTGGATTTTTAAGACACATGTAGAAAGGAAAAGTCTACAGAGGGGCACAGGAAGCAGAATAGAAGGGCAGGAGGCTGAGGAGGAAGGCACCAGAAAGGTAGGCTGAGGAGATCAAAAGGCTGTGGAAGAGGACAGAAAGCTTATGGTAGATGTAGGAAGCCCCAGCATGTCAGGAAGTACATAAGGAGGCTGAGATTGCAGGTATTCTGATCAGGGTGAAGTAGCAATCTAGGGAGGATGGCAGGAGGCTGGTGAATATGATCCTGGGGAAGAGAGTAAGGCTATTGAATAGGACAGGAGATTCAGGAGAAGTGGGGAGTCTGGCAGAGGGCAGAAGGCTCACTGGGAGGGCAGAAAGCTATGGTGTATGGCAGAATGTTGTGGGGGACAGGAGGAGGATCAGGGAGAGAGGACAGCGAGGAAGGGCACAGGGCTCTAAGTATAGGAGTCAGGAGGAAGGCAGAAGGCGATGGGGTCAGGAGGCTAAGGGAGAAGAAGGTTAGAGGATAGAGAAAAGCAGAAGTCCGGGGAGGTGGGAAGGTGGCTTAGGGTAGAGGCTTAGGGGCTGTAGGAGGCTGGGGGAAGGGACATGGCTGGTCAGATATGCAGGAGGCTTCAACATGCCCCCGACCTGAGGCTGGGAAATGCGTTGGCTAGACTGGAAGATAGGAGTCCTAATTGGAGGCTAGGAAGCTGGAAGTGGGCACAAGGCTGAAGGGTGTATGGAGGGCTTAGGGGAAGGGTTGCAGGCTGGCAGAGGGAAGAAGGATGATCAGGTTGCTAAGGGAGATGTAAGGAGTCTGGTGATGAAGTCAGAAGACTGCTGATAAGGGAGACTGCTGGGGACGTGAGTAGCAGGCTCAGGCAGAGCATTCAACCTAGGGGATGAATGAAAGCTAGAGAGGAAGGACAGATGCTGGGGAGGACAGATGGATGCCTTGCACTAGATCATGAGTAAAAGGGAAAGAGGAATAGGGGGTCATGTGTTTCACCCCAAGATTAGACGACTGAGCAGAATGGCAGCATGCTTTGGCAGTAGAAACCTGGGCAGCTATGTCTGCTAGGATGGTGCCAGGGGTAGCAAGATAAAGATGAAGGCAGGAGTCTGGGCTATGCAGCGGCCTGGGGGAATGTAGAAGTCTGGAGAGAAGTAAAGGAAACTTGGTAAGGGTTGATTAGGCTGAGAGGATGACAAGAGGCTGAGGTAGGACAGGCCCCTCAGATAAAAGCAAGATCTTGGCA